CAAAACCAGCGAGTTGCCTAAAACCTCCCTTGTTGTCTTGCTTGCTTTCGGATAAGAAAGACTAGTCACTTTAACCTACCTTCCTAGCTTTAGTTGCCTTAAGGCTTGTCTTTCTTGGCACAAGAAGGTGAACTGTCATTATATATCAATCTTTTGCTCTTGCTCTAGTTGCTGTTGACTTGACTATATTGTCTCACTGGGCAGTGTTTTCTCATGGAGGAAAGAAAGATGGGCCAAATCATGCGGGTAAGTGCCGGGGTTGACGACATTCTGTTGTAGTACTAACACTAGCTATACTAGAGTAGTTTAGTAGCGCCCTTTGTATCAAATAGGCTCACCCTTTTCGAAAGGCGAACAGCCTGCCTTGCAAGCAAATATATAGCCCCCGCCCCTTTGGGTCGTTGCGAGACTCAAACTAATAGGTCGCATATGGGAAAAGTTGGTAGGAGAGTCCACTTTAGGTATGAGTAAAAAATTTAGTGAGCTTTCCTCCTTTAAAAATATCCTTGATCATGTTATAAACATCTTCAGAAATGATATGCCAACTGATTTCGTAAAATTTGCGGTTAAATCTGCCTGGTCCAGCTGTACTATCAGGGTGAAGGGATAAGACAGCCGCTTTAATCTCTTCATTAGTAGGAAACTTCTGGAGCATGGTGTTATCCTCCTCTGTAATGATTCTATCAATTCCCTATAAAATTCAGTTCATAGTCCTGATGAGGTTGAAAGAATAGGCTGGTATAATATGCAACTGCTGCATCAGCAGTTTTGTCATTACCGTTGATCCAATTATCCTCCTCATTCTTGATTCTGTGAATGTAAGCTTTCTTCCTTCTTTGCCTCATAACACTATGAAAATATTTCGTATTGCTGTCACCTTCCTCTTCCCAGTTTATCTTAGCTTTCTGTCTAAGAATGGATGTTTGCATATTCATCCATTTGATTTTTTCTGCATAGAGCCAATGTAGTTTGATCCTGTTGGTATCATTGCCATCTTGCTCATAGATAGCTTCCATATCAGCAATTTTATTTTCTAATTCATCCACTTTATCAAAAACATTACCAATACTCTCCCTAGACCAATTGCTAAGACAATGAGATAGTCTTTTAAGCTTTTGATGAAGAGAATACATGGCATTTCCTTGAACTTGCTCATCCCAACTCTCTTTGACCACCTTCATGAAATCTGGTTGTTCAGCCAAAAAATTCAAAAACTTAAGTATTTGATAGGAGGGATAACTGTTCCTGTGCACTTAAACAACAAAACACTATGATCTGAACCAGTCCTTGGTAGATGATAAACAGTTGATATTGGAAACATGGTAGACCAAGAATCATTATACAGAATTCTATCCAGCCTCTGTAAGATCCTTTTTCTTTTTCTTCCATTAGTCCAAGTAAAATTAGTACCAGAATATCCTGCATCTGTCATCCCACACTCATCCATACAATTAATGAATTCCAGACTTTTGCTAAGCCTGTGAAGTTTTCCACCCTTCTTTTCGCTGGCTTTCATAATAACATTAAAGTTACCCATGATGGTCCAAGGGCCATCAATCCGATTATTAATATTAGAAAGGTAATTCCTTAGTCTTCTCCTCCTCCTTGATTTGGTGCTGGCATAGACCACAGTAATCCAGAGTAATCTGCTGCTTTTTGTTACTAACAACACTACAGTTGTAATTCCCCTCCCAAAAAACCCATATTTTCCATTACAGTTAGCAACTGCATTTGGAAAACCAGTTTTCCTCCTATAGTATTCCAATTTTCTCGTCTACAAAGGGCTCCTGCAAAGCTATGAAAGAAGCTCTATGTTTCTTTACCAACTTGTTGAGTCTAGTGAAAGCACCCTTAGACTTAACCCCTCTAATGTTCCAACTGATAGAACTAATCATTAAAAAATAATTATTGGGGGGTTTTGATTTTTTTTCCTCTGCCTCTTGTTAAAGGAACATTTGCAGTTTTCTTTGTAGTTTTGTTTTGTGTCTTGGTGCCTCTTGGTGATAGTCCTCCTTTGTCGATGACTTCAGTAATTTGTTGCACGACTACATCATGTAACTCCAGATCAGGGATAGGGGAGTCTATGTTAATTAGACTGCCTGCTCTAGGGACAAAATTATTGTCCCTTCCTTCATTGTTTTTGTCTTCCAGATATTGTTTTTCTCATTGTTTATATGCTGGACATTGCTTATTGTAGTAGCATTCTCATAGTTTTCAAGGTTGGTTTCATGTGGATCGACCTGCTCTTCATTAGTAACCTCATCAAGATTTTGAAAAGAGTTGTTGGTTGTGATTGGAGGATTTGTCGGACACACAAAGATTGTTTTTCTTCTGATCCAGTAACCACTACCACTCTTCTTTGTACCATCATCTTGTTGGCTCCAAAATTATTTTCTATCTTCTTACTTATCTGATTGTTATCCTTATTCACTTCAACTCCTGAACAATGAGTTTCACCCTCTATAGCTTCAGTTTCAATGGTAGTACATATTTCTTCAGCATCACTATTAGTAGTATTAGGCACACCATTCCTTTGTTGCTTGGTAGAGTTGTTCCCATTGTCATCGAATTTATCAACAGTTCCAGGTTGATTAGAAACACCTTCCACTGACTGAATATTTGTAGGCTGGCATTCTTCGTTAACATCTGCTCCGGGTTGTTTAGAAATAACTTCAACTAGGAGTGTTCGTCGGCCGGTACGGTACGGTACGGTATTTAGACATTTCGGTTCGGTATTTTCGGTATTCAATTTCTTAATATGCTATACTTTCGGCTGTTCTCCTTTCGGTTTCGGTTTCGGTTTATTCGGTACGGTAACTTCGGTTTGTTCGGTTTCAATATTAACTAGTGCATAAAGTCATAGACTGTAATTTTCTTAAATAAAGTACTCACAAATATAAAAATAAAGACTTTCTAAGCTCATATGACTATTGACAAATTTTTTGTCGAAAACCAGCAAATATCAACCTATAGAGAGAAAAAACGTACATAAAGGAATAAATTTCATCATTGAAAATGTCTTGTTATTTGCTTAGAGCTAATTGCTGAAGTTAGAGAATACAATAAGGACTAATCCAACAGATGCAATTCAATACACGAGAAGAAACGCCCTAAACATGTGTACTAAAGAAAAGTATTATGTAACTCAATGCGTTATAATCAATAATATGTGTATAGTGTAACTTATTATATATTTCGGAACGGTATCGGTATTTCGGTATTATTTTTGTAAATATCAAATACCATACCTAATACCAAATTTTTATAAAAACTTAAACCAAATACCATATCAAATACCAAATACCAAAATTTTCGGTTTCGTTACGGTAATTCGGTATTTACCAAATTATGCACAGTCCTAACTTCCACTAACTCATTAGTTTTAGCTAAGCATTCTCTATTAGCATCAGTTCCAATTGAGACAATTTCATCTTCCACCAAATGCTGTTGAATCTCTTTTTTTTTGTGTCTTTTTCTTGCTAATGATTCTCTGGATAGCAGTTCTCTTCCTTCTCTCCCTCCTTTTTTCTTTTTCCTTTTTCTTTTCCCTGTCAACTCTCTCTTGAACAGAAGGATCATTTTGTTTAGGAGATTCCTCATTCTTATTCAGAATGTTCTTTCCTTGTTCCGTGCTTACACTCTTTTGCTTGCTAGTCTCAACTTGATCAGATGTGGATGTAGTTGTGATTGTTTTGTTCTCATCATCTTTTTGTGAATCTGTAGACATATTCTTTTGAGTTTCTTGAGGTTTGGCTTTAGCGTGAATACAATTTAATGGCCCTTTTTTCCCTTGGTGAAATTTAATGCACAGAATTATGTTTATTGTTATTACAAAGAATGAAGGTTATGTGTTAGGGTGAAAAGTTAGTCTTCTGCGTAATCCTTGGGGGGCAGAGTTACGCGACACCTGTGTTGATGGGAGGTAGCAGGTACCTAATGGAATAATGGAGGTGCCCGCAAGCTAGCCTAAACACCACCTTCATAAATAAATAAATTAATAGAAGAATATAAAGACGTGTACAACTTATTGCTATCAATCATCTCGGTTCGTTTAGTAATAATTGTTGTGCTTGTTTGATTGGCGGTTTTGATGAATCTTCCTAATCTCAAGCATCTTTGATTTTGTTCCCTTAGTGCTAGGGCTTTGGTCTGTTTGATGTATGAATACTTAGTCAATTGATGTATGCATCTTAAAACACTACAAGCATAATCTTTACTTGTGATTGAATATTTATTCAATTGATTCTCTTGCTCACTGTTTCTATTGATTAATAGCCTGTCAAATACATGGTTTGTGTCTGTGATGTCTATCTATATCAGGTATTTCTATTTCACAATAAGCTCAACTGATGTTTAGCTTTTATCCCTAAAGAAACAGTAGATCAGGCATGATGCTTCTTGCTTAGAGAGAGCTTTGAAGAATACTAGCGTTTAGATGTTCTACTCTATAATATCATGATTCATTATCAATTGGAACTTGGAATATTACGCATACCTGCTTACTCTTGCTTTCTTCATGTTTCATGTGTTATCTCTTCTCCGTCAAAGGAACTTGAAGAAGTCTATTTTACTTCATATCCTCAAATTGCTTGTCCCCCCCTTCCACTAAAAGGGAGAAAAGGAAAATTGATACATGAAATGAATCTTTAGTTTGTGTTTAAGATATTATAGTTAAATGCACGTGCGTTTCTTTGAAACTTCTTATTAAATCTTCATTCCTTCTCAATGTGAGTACGGGTCATTTGGATAATAGTTCTTATTTGTGGAAAGGGAATACATATAGAGTGTCTCTCCATTTGGGTTTATTTTTGTTGTAGTTATAGTGCTATTTCAAAGTACTATTCCATGTTTACTAGTGAACTTATAGAATTTTGACGAGCTTCTCATTTTGAATTGAACAGATATGAGTTGACTATATCAAATATATTAGTTGTTAGATTTTGTTATTCTCTCCTTTAATTGGAAGGGCAATGTTGAATTGTCTGTTTCAAATGTTGCAGGATGAATTTGAGTCTTTATGCGAGGAGACACAGGTACATATCATATGCTTCTTAGTTTATTAAAGTTATCTGAGAAAATATGCATCCTATTTCTGGAGAAGTAAAAATTGAATAAACCTTACATAATAAATATTCCCTTTGCTGCTTCAAAACTAAGCATTCTGCAAGATCTACTCTACCTTCTCACTTCTACTAAAACATCTCTCAACTTCTAATAAAATATGGTTTTGAAAGTAAAAAATCATGATTACTTTAAACGTGAAATTTCATTTTCTGTCCTTCAAGAGCGTACTTATCCGTTTAGCTGACAGCTAAACTAGATTCTCCTGGCGTCCATATTGTAAGGTGAATAAAAAAATAAAGAATTGCAAAAGTTACTATGAGGACTGCCAAGTGCCAACTGGTCTTCAGTTGACCACTGCACTAGTAACTTTTCAGGATGTGTACTTTTCGACCGAGATATAAGTTCTTCTTGGACTTGTTCCTCTTCTGGACAAAATCTGAAGATAATAGAGCATTACTGAGGATTGAATATTGTAGAAAAGAGAAGTTCTTGGAAAATATCTATCAATTTACCTCTAGATTATCAAATGTGCTTTCCTAGAAGTCTCTCTCATTGTAATGTTGAGAAATTCAGATAAAGCTTTGCTTTCATATGGATTAAGTGTAGGTTGACACCTCCAGTTAGAATTTCATTTACTGTGATCATTTATTCTATTATGCCTAATGAGAACAAAGGTTCCATGTATTGGAAACTGTTTGAGAAAGCTCTGCCTTGTAAAACCTAGTTATGCCGTTGGAGAAGAGATTCACAAGAGAGAAGGAAATTAACTGTATGAGAATTTTTAAAGAAGGGGCCATAAATTTCCTTAAGAATTGTTTGGTTCCCTCATGTATTCGTTTGATTATGTAACTTACTGCTCATGCAAATCGATATTATAGAAGACAGATTCCAACAAGTTAATTATGTCCACATTTCAGCTGACTGAATTCATTTATTTGGAAAAATGCATTTTCCAATACCATTTCTTTTGATATGATGTTAACCTGGAATGCTTATGTGAGTTTTGGTTGTTAAGTTGGAATAATGTGTGATATGGTTTTCCTTGGGATCGTGTTTCCTACTTGTAGGCAGGAACAACTCTAAACATGGTGGAGGAGCTTGTGGAAGAACAACGCTTGGAAGGAAGCTTGAACCCCTTGTTTCTGGAGAGGTATGCTTACTCCCGTTCTGCAAAATTGCATAAGCAGGATTAGAATGGTTTTCTTTTACCCACTATTGTTTTAGAAAAAGCTTTCTGGAATTCTATTTTTCTGTTTTGGTCACACCACGTGAAGGAAATCCACTCTAGATGATAACTGGACCTGCGCATATGTGCTAAAAAACTGTGTCGAACATCCTTAGTGCTATAGTAGTCTTTCTTGTTACAAGTGACATAGAGTACTAAGTTTTTGAGTCCTCAAACCCATGCATATAACCTGTGGTGTAACAAGAAAAATGACCTTCTAGGAAAGGATTTGTGCTGTAGGTGTATCTGAAGAACAGACATTTGTACACTATAATTTGCATCAAAATTGTCTAGATACTTTATAGTTTATACTTCTGCTTCTCTGGTTTTGGTTATTCTTCTCATCTTATTCTTCCCATGCTACCTCTGAACTGTCTTGTTAGCTTTTATACTTTGCCAAGTGCAGTACAATCCACTAGTGCAGCTTTAATACCTTAATAACTTTACAGTTTGCACACCACCATGACAGAGTCAAAAGATGTATTGACTACTGATTTTCCAATTTTCTCAAAGAATTTGACCTGAAAGAGAGCTTTAACGTAGAAGTTGAATCATATCTTATTATAACTCTTTAAACGTGAGAAAATAAGCGAAAATATAGCATTGATTTTCTGTAGTGTAGAAGCTATTTGTAATATTTGTTTACCCGAAAAATGAATAGAGTTGAATTTATACGTAGTTCTAAAGATACGTGGTATAACTTGGTACAAATTAGAAAAATAAGTAAAGATATATCGAACTTTAACTGTAAAAAGAATGAATACAAACCCAAATTGAATAGAGAGTGATTGATTAGAGAACAAGATGAATCAATATCAAAGCCCAAAAAGATAATATTTGCTAGATGTTATGTAAATCTCAGTAAATCTGAATGTGTCAATGAATGAGTATGCCCTTTTACAAATGATAACCACTCTTGATATAGTGGGGAAATCCTACTTTGGGGATCCCATGATAGATTAATTAATAAGCTTTTCTTTGATTCAAGCCGTGATTTCCGCCGAGATTCTCTCCCCAAATGCGGCTATAACGGCTTTTTTGTTCCTTGGCTGGGTCTCGATCTTGGCCAGTCTCGGTATTGGTCGGTCTCTGGGTCTCGAGCTCGACCTTTGCTTGATCTCGGTATTGATCGGTCTCGGGGTCTCCATCTCGGTATTGATCGGTCTCTGGGTATCGATCTCGGTATTGATCAATCTCTAGATCTCGAAATCGACAACCCAACTTCACATCACAGCTCGATATTATAATGATGAACCTCGGTCCATCATGCTCCAATCCTGCTTAGTCACATGAAGGGTAAACTCGGTTTTGTTCATATACAGATAGTCCCCTCCTTTCTCGGAAAGAATGTGGTGAGAAACGATATGATTTTTCAACTTCCGACTAGATGAACACTGACGTATGCGACGAGCCCGACTGTGACGTATGTGACAAATGTCCCGTCGGTCCAGTTACCAAGGTATTAAATGCGCGTCAGTCGATGGTCGATCACTGCCAATTTTGAACCGTCGTTGTGAAATCTATAAATAGCCCCCTTCTTCATTATTTCGAACTTTTACCTTCAAATCTTTTTCATTCCAATCATCACAGTGGTAGCGTAAAGAAAAGATTATAAAAATTATTGGGTACTTGCCGGTCCGCTGAGCTTCCTTAGTAAGTATCGTTGGAACTAATTCTTGTTATTGCTCTACTTGTGTATATATGAATGTACCGATGCACTATTAGCACAATAGTTATCTTCCACAGGCTATTCTTGGTTTCTTGAAATTGGAACTGGACTTCTTTTGTGAATTTCCATGTTATTCAATAGATGGACTTGTACATTTGTTGGACTACATGTGTATCACGAAGGCATATGGTTATGTATATATTTTTAAAGTATCTCTGAATATAATACATATCCTTGGGACAACTCTTAAGGTAGTAAATGTCTAGTGCATGCTAGATATTGTGTGGTCTGGATGGTCAACTGAAAAACATGGACAACAAACTCCGGAAAAGGAGAAAAGAGCACGAAAAAGCATTCTCGTTTCACTACCAATAGGTATAGATAGTAATATGTAATTCTATGTAAAGGTATCGTCATGGTGGATACTGCATATCCAGATACTGAATTCTTAATTAGTAAAATTAAAACATACAATTCAGTTTATATCTGTCTATTATGCAAACTTCTTCGTGGTTCTTTAAATGAGAGAATGTTGATGGTTGTTGAGGCTTTTGATACTATTGAACAAGGCTTCTATCTTTTTAAGTGTTAGTATATTTACTTTCGGTCCTAATGCTTCGTGGAGTCTTATATGCCAGTGAAAATATAGAGAACTTCTAGTAATAGCTAGTCAGAGAACTTCTAGTAATAGCTAGTCATTTTGCAGGAGTAATACTGAAGAAGTCATGAGACACTACCTATCTGAAGCCAAAAAGGACGAGATCAGTTACTTGATGGCTATGTTAGAGAAGGTGGTCTTAGTTATTTACTTACACTCTTTTGTAAATGAAGAGCTAATGCATCATTTTTCACAAGATGTGCATATCATCTTTTTTCTTATTTAAAATTAAAATTTCCTCGACTGATTGGTTGGCATCCTAAAATGATTTGTTAGGCAGAAGAACAGAAACGTGCTGTCACTTCTCTTCTTGAAGCCGTGAAGAAAGAAAGGCATGATTTCTCTGGTGTCAAAGACATTGTTAATAAGGTATTATGCTGCTTACTAATTATCTCATTCAAGTAACGGTGATATGAGTATCTCAGCTTAAAGTGTTTATTTGGACCAACCTGTAACCTACACCTCTGCCCCCCTGCAATAGTGTGGGGCGAAACAAGGAATGTTGCCCTTTTAACTCTTTCCTGTATTTGGCTTCCCCTGCATTGCCCTGTTTAGCCTTGTCCTACTCTTCACTGTTATATTAGATTTTAAAACTAACTATTTTTTCATTAATAGTTTCTTTACCTTTTTATTATTTTCAAGTATTTTCTCATATGTTTACCAATCAATAGCCGAAGGTGACGAGAAAAGTTTTATTTTTTGAAGTAAAACTTTTTATAAGATTATTACAATTCAACTCATGTCCTTCCACTAACAATGCAGAATGCAAAGAAACCATATAACATCCACAATCTAACTCAGACGGCGAACCGGCAATTTTCATCTTTTGCACTCAATCTTAGCATTATATAATTTTCTCACACATCAGCATAATATTATTTAGTGATTATATTATTTGAGAAGAATTCAAGTTACGTTACCGAGCTTTAATTAGCCTTCTAAAGTTAAAAACAGAGAAAACAATATCATGTGGAACGTGGAACTTTCATTGAAGCAACGGTTGGGCACGATTGAGTATATTTAATTTAACTTTATAGAAGTACTAGATAGTATGCCGCCACGCGCCTAACATTGTAAGGTTTTCTTTTTGGTTTCGCACCTGGTGTATCCGGAATCCACATTACTTGGAAATATGAAAAATGAGAAGAACGTGGGACGGTGAAAAAAGGAGCAAAATTATATTACGACACGATAACGAGTACTGGTAGCCAAAGAACAGTACCAGAGTGTTAGAAACATTATGGAAATTAAACATTAAAAAAGAGGAAGGTACAAAAGGAACAAAATCGATATAAAAAAGACACTGTAGAGCAGGATCAAAAGAAATACTAGTACTTACTTCAATAGAGATCGAGTTGGAAATTGAAATGGCGTTGAGTACAGTTGCAACGAGGAGCTTCTATATGCCGAGAATATTGGACGTAAATGGCGTGAGCAGTCGAACTCAAATGGGACGCGTGTCACTTGCTGAGGCGAGCAGCTTCGTTGGATCTTCTTCACGGTCAACTCGTTCAAAGCGTTTGTTTGCTTAAGCAGTTCTACTGATAGTACGGGTAATGAAGACAGAACTTGAAGTTTACTTTGATTCAGGCTGTGATTCAACATATATGTAAGCAGTGAAAGTGGCAAAGGGTGGTGGATTTGTGTCTTAGGTCACAGGTTCAAGCCCCCACACCATGCAAAGCAAAGCCTGGTATTTAAGTGGAGAAGGGTAGAGGGGCGGGCCCATTATCCACCGAGTTTCGAAGGCTGCGATTGGTCCAAAGGATCGGCCCCAGACGGATTTCTCGGTCATCAAAAAAAAATGTAAGCAGTGAATGCACATTCACTGCACTTCAGTTAAAGAAAAAGTTTATGCACATGTCCTTAACAAATTAAATGTACTCCTTTTGCTACACAATAATACCGAATGTATATACAATCACTTTCCATTGATATTGTTACTTAGTCTAAAGCTATACTATTACTTGTGATATTAGGTAGTAAAAAGGAGGCTATTAATTAATACTGATAAGGCTCCAGGCTTATAATTTCATTCATGTCTCTGGCACTCTAGGTCTTGTTTCAGAGGTTTGTGATAATTGTGGTGTTCGGGCTAGAAATTTGTGATATTACCATCTCAGTTATTTGTCTTTTAATCTTAGATCATTTAAACTTGTGACATGCTAGCATTTTCCTATTCCTTTTCCACTGTTAACCTCTTTTGTAACTGAATGTAGACTGGAAATTTTGTATCTGACAGTGTGGAGGATCAAACAGAACAGGTATTTCAGTAATCAACTTACCTTGCAGTTTATCTTTGTTAATTCATCTTAGGTGTCTAATTAAAATATCTGACTTTGATATCGATCTTTAGCTCTCAAGAATATTGGGGAGATACTTAAAGCTGGAGGTGTTAACTACTCTTCAGTTGTTAAGACAACAATTATGCATGTCATTTAATTATTTTTGTGTTTTTTTTGTGCTCGTATCACACAGGTAGTCTTGGTTACTGATACTGAATAATACTACATTAACTTACAGGTTGGCTGATCTAAAGGACTTCCAGAAAGTTAATGCAATTTATGCTAAATGTGAGTCGTGATATATACTGAAATAACTAGTTTTTGTACAAGTACTTTACCACGTACTGCCTCCTTGGTTTTGCAAAATTCATTTAATTTCGTTGGGTATGTTGAAGAATTTACATCACCTGAACCAGCACGTTCAACTTTTCAGGCAGCAGCACTACCACTGGATGCAAAAATTGAAGTTGACTGCATAGCAGTATTCTAAATAGACGAGTTAAATGGATGAGTCTTAACTTTCATCGCTAGGATTTTGAATTTAATAAGAGGAGTTTAGTGTTTAATTCAGGGGCTCTTGACCCTCTGCTTTAGATTCTATTCCCAGAGCTGGCAGATTATATGTAAAGGGCTCTTCAGCTCCCTTATTAAGAACTCAGTATTTCATTGTATAACCACGTTCAAATTACTTGTATTATTGTTACTGATTGACAAACCAACACTAGTTAAAAGGAACTTGTGCTGTTAGTGCACAGCCATGGATATTACATGTGATTATGCCAATGTTCTGTTTGGATCATTGTTACCCATCGTTTTATAATGTATCGTATTGTATTGTATGATATTGTATTGTATCGTTTTATGAATACAACGTTTGGATAGATTGTATTGTTTGCTGTTGTCAAATAATATTTTGCTGTTTGGTTTGACTGTATCGTATTGTACTGTAACTGATAAGTTTACTAAAATACCCTTAATTGTTTTAAATATTATCAAGAATTACACATAAAGTAATTAGAGTTAGAATTAAAAATCAATATTATATAGCTAATTGGAGATGAAGTAATTAGAATTGGAGTTAAAAATCAAAGTAGAAGAAAGAACAAAACAAAAAGAAGGCAAAACATATACCTGACTTGGAGTTGGGAGTGGGAGAAGGAAAAAAGAAATAACGACGTAGGTTATAGGTTAGGAGATTTGGAGTAAAAAAAAAAGTGAAAGGTAAAATAGAATTATAAAGTAAGAAGTTTGGGCATAATTGGAAAGCAAAATAGAAAATAATCTTATCACACTAAATCGGTTATTTAAAAAAAAAGGGGACTTTTCATTGTTCTGGAACAATGGATTTAACAATACATTACAACCAATTTTAACTAATCAATCAAAACAAACATTGTTTTGGGATAACAATACGATACAACGGGAGCAATCATCCAAACAAGCTGTAAATTAAGATCAAAAGCAAAACTCAGTCAAGTATTGGCCTAATCACATTGTGATTGTGATATTTAGTAGGCTTTTAACTTGTTTGGCATAGGGATAATTAGTTCTTTGATCTAATATCCCATCCAATGCTAAAGAGTTTACATTTAAGGAAAAACTTGAAGAGGTTTTAAAACTATTAAGTTTTTTTTATAGCTCACTTATACTTCACAATTCTCTAATCAAACTAGAAAATTTTCTGAGACACCATACCATAAGTCATGGAGTAACCAAAATAGGATTCAATCTGCAGGTACCTTGTCAAGACCTTTCCAGGTCTGATAACAATTCAAATAGGCAAATCAGATAACAGACCGATAGATCATTCCTTGATGGGTTTTTCGAATGTTCTTTACCAGCCAAAATTTGCAACAGCACCTGTATAATAAAACAATAAACGGTAGTTGCTGGACTATATACATCTATGCAGAAACACTAGAAAACTATAGTGCAAGTCAGATGGTTAATTAATTTTTAGAAAAAATAACAGTTACATAAAGACAAAGCGCAAATCCAAATGACACATAGGATAGCATAGTACTTGTCACAAATACTTGTACAAGAATGCACGGCAAAGCTGTATTTCTTCCAGCAATCCATCCTCTACTATCCCTATTATGTTTCTCTGTCTAAAATGCAAGACAATTTTCTATTGCACAACAACTGCATCACCAAAATAAACAGGGTGCTTTCATACTTTAACTTCTACATCATCATAACTTATTTATTGAGTAGACCATACACCTTCCTATGAAATTTGAAAAACTTCATGAAATTGGTTTCCACTTGTATAAAGAAATGAAATCAATATATTTTGCTTGGTTTCTTGTCCTTTGGGTTTCATTCATTTGAACTCCTGGAAGTTCACATGTCCAGTTGCTTGTGCATGCTCAACAGCTTCCTGTATATCAAATGCAATTTTTAGCAAAAAGCACAAGTTTAAGAAAGTAGGCAGAAAAATAACAAGAAGCAAGCCACGATATAAGCTGTGCTGGTCAAACCTTTTGGCCCACGACCCCGATTTGGCAAACTCCACAACGCAACGTGAAGTTGGCTGTATCAGTGTAGCTCCTCTTCCTGCAATGTGCAAAAGCATAGTGATTAGTAGATTTAAGTAGTTTCTATTCATATCCTAGAAGCAAAATAAGATCAGATAAAAAAGAACAGCAGCTCAGAGTTAGAACACACACACACACACACAAAAAAAAAAAAAAAAGCAAGGAACAAAGTAAAATAAGCCCTCACAACCACATTCTTATCATGCCAATAACCTCAAAATGCAAATAATCTATATAACTCTTATCCGCAAATCCTCTAATTCTTATCATGCCATTCCTCTCAAAATTCTGTAACTTCAGATCTTACCAATTTTACCCAACCATAAACGCAAACAGCATAAGAACCGAGGACTTTAAGTGACAAGAACGCACCAACTAACAAAATGCATGAGAGTACAACTGCGCAATGTCTATTAAGAGATCCTTAAGTTTATCATGTTAGGACATCTTATCGTTGTTGTCCATGCGAGCAACTACACCACAAACTCAGCAAAGAGAACTATGGATAGATTTGACCCACAAGGAAAATGATTATATAAGTAGTATGTTGTTCTTCAGAACAAACAAATGCTGTCCAACTGTATGAATGATGAATCTCTTCTATTATTCAAAGCTTCATATTTGAACTAGTAAATGTGCTACAAAGGAATCGAATTGTGTGAAAAGCATAACCTAAAAGTTAAAACTATTGGAAAGAGAAGTCTTCTATTCAAACACGCGTCTCCTCACACGCTGCAAGCATGACCCTGGACTTGATTCTTTATTCTTAGGCCACACGTGGAAACTTTTTTTTCCTTTATGAGACAGAGCTTCGAACTCATGACTTCTGTCAAATAGTTGAATTGTTTGAATGGGTTTAAGCTATTAACGGGGAACACTATCATTAAATTATTTATTTTAAGCATGCAACATAAGGGAAGCAAAATCACAACCCAAATCTGTATTTCAAGACTGTATTCGACCCCTACAACGCGCGCTTGAAATGCAATTTCCAACCTTGCAGATCTGTTAGCTGATATTGAATGGACTTCGAATAAACGATAAGATGGCTGAACAGACGTCTTTTTTTCCCCCAGACCCCACTTTGTGGGTTTACATTGGGTTTGCTGTTGTGCTGAACAGATGATGCACAGCCAGTTGAGAAGTCACAGCTACTAGCAGCCTTTTTAGTACAGAATATTTATACACACAGAACAGACTGTTTACCAATAGATCCTTGAGCTTTTGGGCACCTTCTGGACAAGCCAAAGTAAAATTTCCCATGCTATATAGCTATTATTTTAGCTGCCAACACTGCATGAATTTGACAGCTTTAACTTAGATATAGTTGTTCAAAATTGATTCTGGAGTTTACTTATGCCAAAACTTATTTAAGTTGGATGATTCCGGAGTACTGAGTGTTTAAAATGAGGGAAGAGACAAGTAAAAGAAAAACTGGGATTTACCAGACGGTGCTGCAGATTGCCTACATACACCAGGTTTAGTGAAGGAGTTATTGCGATTATCTGACAAGATTCTAAAGAGCTACAGGATGCACGGATGCTCCCAGAGGGTGGATACATTTTCTGGGGAGTGTCGAGGGTATAAAAATGCTAAACCCTTGATATGTCGCTTTTTAATTGAATAAAGAAATCCTTGATTGAGCTCTTGTATCCAAAAAAGGAGATCAAACATTGCAAGATTGTAAATCCAAGGATATTTAAATATCTGGATTCCAAATCCCATTGATGGCTTGAAATCATGATCCATAAAGCCAGAGGCAACAACAGCCATGTCCTAAATGGCACTGATTGAACAGCTTCATCCAGTATTGTCTTAGCACATCATTATCTATTGTATAGTAAAAAGCTTGAAGATCAAGCCCTTTCTGTAAGTATCGTCAGCTGCGTTATCATTTAACTTTCCTGTAAGCAAGCGGAAGAGTACGATCTGCCCCTAAATATTAATTCAGCAATCGACCATTTCTAATCAATCCAGGTAAATAATGTTTAATAGGAGAAGCAACCAAAAAGAGGTACTCAGAATTATGATGATAAAAAGAAGAGCTTGATGCATGTGAAACAATACAAGGAAATGAAAAACTCAAACGTCATAAATATAGAGAGAAATAGAGATGGATAAAAACTAGAGAAAAGACTTCTCACTGGGAGCTGTCTGGAAATAGGTATAAAGCACCAAATCGATTAAGCAATATATATAAATCAATCATCTATGCCTCAATCTCAAACTAATTAGTGCTAGGTTTATGAATTTTTTGTATCAATTCCGCTTTAACCAGAGTATCATTCCAATTCCAATCTAAATATTTTTTTTTTCAAGGCAAATGATGGGTTTTCTAGAACTAGAGTTCACTAGATCGTACGCTTATCATTACTCCAAACAAATACCAGACCTAATGTAAATCTAACAACAACTATACCTCAATCCCAATAAGTCGGCATCGTCGATATGGATTCTTTGCTTCCATTATGTTCTACTCCTAGTCGAGTCTGATTTGATTCCGCTATATTGGCGGTCTTCTTAGACAACTTCTCTTTTGTGATGTGACTCCGCTATATTGTCGGTCTTCTTAGACAACTTCTCTTTTGTGATGTGACGTCTACCTCGTCTCCTTTTATCACCTTCAACCACAACAGTGTTGCACCTACCAACTGGTGCATATGGAGGTTCATGTAGCACTTGGGTAAACTATCTCAAGCAGCTTTCTCTTTATTTATCCTATATTTGTGCTACTTGCACTCTATCTGATGAGATCATTTCTAACCTTGTCAAATCTTAACATCTGAATTTCAACTACATACATTGTATAGGATATGTTAGACCATAAAGACTCAACATTCACTCCCATATAACATGTTGGTCTCACACTTGTTCAATAAAACTTGCATCTCATTTTATTACGTTTCTCCATATCGCATAACACATTTGTGGCACTCCACAATTTCAAACATCATATCTTAATTATATGTCATTTTCACCAATCATGCCATTCTTCTGGAAGATTGAACCAAAAAATATGAGTTGTCCGCATTTAGGCACCACAATCCGTCTCACTTCTACTTATTCTAGAACTGACTCGTTGTGTTTATTCATAGTTCCAACTTTTGGTTAACTCCCTTGCTAGCTTCGCAATTAACATAATTAGGCAAAATATTCACTTTGTAACAAAAGTTAGATCAGATACAAACTCTTTCAGCACCCAGAAGAGAATAAAAGCATTATTCCCAGGAAAAATAACAAATCAATCTGAAGTAAAGAAAGTTGAGATCTCCAGCACACTAACCACAAAAGACTAGTTCCTATACTAATAGCGTGGAAAAGCATTTTAACAAAGAAACTTAAGGAACCAGGTAGATGTATCAAATCTGAGCCCATTATCATCCGGCCGTACAAAACTTCCCCAACTCTAACTCTTGCTGGTTTCTTTGTTTCTTGAGGAATTTTTGTCAAGACATAAGGGTGCTTCAAAGGAATTTTCTGATGCTTACCGTTGTTGCTCCTTAACCAGATTAAGAGCAAGCCTCTCAGCTGGTCCTACAGTGCCATCTCTCTGCACAGTAAAGATTGTCTGATCAAACTCCTCTGGAGCTCCTTCAGCAGGGGACATCTATTGGTTGAACACATGAAACAAGGGGTAAGTGGGATAGTATAAACTTAAAAAAAGGAAATCTAACTCCACGCAGCTTTGTCAAAAGATAGCAAAATCTTCATACAAATGTTAGCTTGATGATCTCATACTCTACTAACTGGCAGCTAATAATTTCACATTTCTTATGATGGGTAAATGCAAAATTTCATTAGGAATGGCACTAGCGATGGGCACAAACCCAATTATACGAGCCGAAGAACAAAGATATAAGGAGCTCCTACCCATTACAAATATGCTACTCCCTCCGTTTCAATTTATGTGAACCCATTTGACTGGGCACGGAGTCTAAGAAAAGAGAGAAGACTTTTGAACTTGTGGTGTAAAATGAGGCACATATATTTTGTGTGTATAAATCATTGCATAAAGGTAAATGGTTTCCAAATAGGGAAATGGGTCATTCTTTTTGGCACATAAATTGAAACGGAGGGAGTATTATAAAACAAAATAACCCAATAACAATAAAATTTGAGCCAAAACGCCCAAAGCACGTTAAACCCAACAGACTAACCCAGCATATCATTTATCTGTGCCTTTTCAACAATTGCTATATCGGATTCAGATCACTAATCCTATCTCATTGATTTGATAAGAGTCTAGACAAAGTCCAACTTGGGACCTTAACTTTGCCCACAGTCCATCGATTTATAGGATCTATAAACAACTCTCCTTGTGGTTCTTCCAGTATAGAAACAGAAAGATCCAGAAGGTGCGTGTGTGTGTGTGTGTGTGTAGAGAGAGAGAGAGAGAGAGAGAGAGAGAGAGAGAGAGACACCATACAGCCAAAGCATCATAATGGAGCCCATCATAAATCAGCATTACTCTTTCCTGATAGTTCTTCCCCTGTTTAACGTTCAGCCATATAAAGGTGGTTAAGAAGACTTGGAATTAAAAATTACTCATGTAGAACACATCCTGCTACTTAAATACTGACCTGCCCATACAGATCACAGCGTGTGGTTTGAATATCATAGGCTGCGATTTCTCGTCCATAGTAGTCAGCCAATATTGAAAGCTCTATGGCGCCTTAAGAAAATAAGTGTTTCAAAGGTCAGAAATGTTGTTGAGAAAACACAATACAAATAACAAGAACTACAACGATTAAATATGAAAGGGATGTTCCTTAGCAGCAAGAAACTAGAGTTCATCCAGCTGAACATAATCGCAACTAGACAGACAACTAATTGCAAGATTTTATCACCCAGTTCTACTGTAAAACTATCTATGGAGGGACCAAAAAGGAGAGCATTGACTAGTGAACTAATTGTTTTACCCGAACAGGACTTCAGAGGTTGAGATAATGCAGGAATATGATAATTTAAAACAGACGTCAAGTATAGACATACCTCCCCATTTCTCTGGGTTAAGAATCCAATCACAGTACTCTTTGTTGGACTTCCCAAGANGCTGGTTGTCAAGTGATCTTACTGAATAAATTTTCCCTGTGGCAAACAAATTATTTCAAAACTATTGTAAACCCAGATTTCATGTCCACTATTGATGTCTAAAAATGTATTTCAGACCCAACCCTCAGGAATGTCTTTTTACTACATGACTCTTTTTCTTATGTAATTTGTTTCCCTAGGCACGACATTGAAATTAAAAATGATCTTTGGTCACCTCTCGAGATTGATAAGTAACAAAGACCCATAACAAAAAAAAATCTGTCTAAGCTCGGGGGCTTAGACAAAATTGAAACCTGTCTAAGCTCAGGGGCTTTATTTCTGTCATGGTCCATCACATAACTGCATAAACAAAGGAAGAACGAGACATTGATTCAAATCCATCCCGTATCCACTCCAATGGAAAAAAGAGGAGAAAATCAGCAGAAAGTAAAATGGAAATAAAGTTTACCCAACAGCATTGAAGAGACAACTGTTATCAGAAGGAATAACCCTTCGAACTATAGCACCTTCCATCTACAAACTATACACCGAAAAAAACAAAGAAAATGAACTTGCTGAGTCTTTTACACAATAGGCTATTACCAGCAATAATTAAGCAGAAAAAGCGGTTAAAAAAACAAACCTTTATCTAGATGAACAGCGTCTGGAGAAATGGAACCAAAAATTTTGGTGAAAAAAATCAGCTAAATTACCCGAAATATCTGTCAGATAACGAAAATAAATTCAAAATTCGTAAATGGACAGGATACACAGATAATGAAGGAAGACGATAGTTCCAGATCTATATATGCACTGACCAAAAAATAGGAAATTGCTCTTCTTCTTTTATTGGTTAACAGTAAACCGAGAATTGCTTTAACTTGACGACAGCTGAAAATCAAAAGACAAGTTACGAATCTGAAGAAAACACCACTACTTTCTGTTTTTTAAGTTTTAATATTAATATCGTGGATAAGAGAAATAAATAAGTCATTTCCTCCGTGACTATTTCATTTTAACATGTAAAAAGAAAATACATTTCTATATTTAACTTTAAATTTAAAAAATAAAATTCTTGGTTAGGGGTTGATATAGAAAAAGTATTTTCTTTCATTTTAATAAAACGAATATTTTCTTTTTATGATGTAAAAAAAATATTTTCTTTCATTTCAACAAACTGACTAGTTTTTTTTCATGGTGTAGAAAAACTATTTTCCTTCATTCAACAAAATGAATAACATTTTCATGTTGTAGAAAGGATATTATCTTTTTCAGTGTAAGTGTTTGCAAACTTATTTTTAGTTTTATGGCTATATTTTTTTTATTAGAGATTTACTTTTATACCTAAAAGATTTATTGTTTATATATAAAAGATCTAAAAAAAATATTTTTTAAATTTCAACATAAATATTTTTAGAAAGAAATGGTTCAATATAATGCCTGCAAAATTTGTTATATTTTATTTTTAGATCTTTTATATATAAAATAAATTTTTAGATATATTTGACATGAAATTTAAAAATTTGTAATGAGCCATGGGGGGGGGGGGG